CATGGGCGTCGGCCCCAAGACTGCCCCCGTGCTGATTTCCAAGTACGGCTCCTTCCAGGTGAGCCGCGCCTCTCCTTTGTCATTGCTTCGCAGGAGATTATCGAGTCGGAGGAGATCGCGAAGATCGCCCGCCGCAGCGGGAAGCACAGCAAGAGTGTGGAGCGCGCCTACGACTTCCACCTCATCACCAAGCTGCGGGGCGACGTGCCCGTGCTTTCGTCGCTCGGCCAGCTGCGCAAGAAGCGCACCCTGGAGCGACAGTTCGTGGCCTTCTGCCGCATGTTCTCGCTGCAGAAGTGCTCGTTGCGCTGGCACGACGTCACCCACTGAGGGGCCGGCCGCCGCGGCCCGCCATGGGACCACCGTCAATATGCACCCCCACTAGTCCACTGTACAAATGATTATCGCAAGTGTCGCCTCGGCCCGCAGGTCAGCGTATCTTCAAATAAACCACCGTGGAAAACACCGCGACCGCGGCGAAGAGCAGCGTGATGGTCACGTCGCCCACAACGTCCCACGGCTGCACGCGCGGAAGCGCGAAGCTGCACGGCACGTAGTCCGCCGCCACCAGCTGCGGGACCATGGCGCCGTCGTAGGCGGCCGACACGAACCAGCCGTACAGCTCCGGCCACCGGTGCAGCAGGCGAGAGACGCGCGCGCGCTGGATGCACAGGAACCCCAGCAGCTGGCTCGCCTGGTCGCGCGAGTCGACCATGGAGCGGTAGAACCCGTAGGAGGCCTCGCAGTCCTGCGCCACCCCCGCGCCCGCCTCCAGCATCGTCGCGTACAGGTACGTCGCCTTGGGCTCGTTGCGCAGCTTCGCCTGCAGCACCCACTCCACCGACTTGGCCGGACTGTGCTCCAGCAGCGCCTCGGCCAACAGCAGCGGCGAGCCCCCGCTGGCCTCGTGGCCGCTGCGGCGCGCGTAGAACAGGTGGCAGGGGGAGGTGCCCTCGGGGTCCGCCCCCTGCATGAAGGGCGCGAAAATCCCGCCCACCCGCTTCACAATCTCCGCGGGCGCGTTCTCCGACGGCTGAATCTGGTCCGCAGTCACCTCAGGCAAGTCGGCGGGCACCCCAACGCGCATCGGAGACACCCGACCCCCGTTTGGAGCAGTGCCCCCCGACGCCGGGACCGCGGCGGGAAGCGCAGCATCGGCACTCGCCCCGCCGGCCTTAACCGCGTCCACAGCCGACTCCGGCACGAGGGGGGACCCGTCCCCAACCGCGTAGCACAGCTTGTGGCTGCCCTTGAAGTGCCGGGCCGCCACGATGTGCGCCTGCGGGTCCCCCATCTCCGACAGGAACATGTTCAGCATCGTGTTGCCGATCTCGTCCCCGTGCCGGGCCGCCCGGCGCGCCAGCACCTTGACAGCCGCCGGGAACAGCGACTGCCGCGCCACCTGCTGGAAGAGCGAAAACGAAGCCTTGCACCGGTCGACCGAGGAGTTGAACTTGAGGTCGTAGCCGTGCAAAGTCAGCACCGCCGTGTTGAAGGTCGCCACGATGTTGCCGCTCTTCGCCGCCCGCCGGTAGTACTCGAGCGCCATGAAGACGTTCTTGCCGTCGGGGGGCGTAATGTCGCTCAGCATCCCCGCGTACGCGTGGCCCATGAGCATCTGCGAGGTCACGTCGCCGCTGTCCGCGGAGTCCTGCAGGTGCCGCGCCGCCGCCAGCTGGTCCCGCGGCTGCCCGATGCCGTAGCGCGCCATGTAGAAGCGCGCGGTGGACGCCGCCAGGGCGTTGTTCGACCCCGCCACCATGCGCAAATAGCGCTCCGCGGCGCGCTCCATGTCGGCGCGATCCGCGCCGTCCAGCTCCAGCTGCTCGGGGCTCACCACCACCTCCTCGGCGGGGTCCCCCTCGGCCGGGAGCGCCGCGTCGTGGTCCTCGTGGTTCAGCAGCTGGATCAGGTGGTTGGCCATGGTCAGCGCCGAGGCGACGTCGCCGCTCTGCGCCGCCCGCGTCCAGTACTCGAGCGCGCGCGGCACGTCGACGCCGATGTTGCCCGCCTCGTGCCCCGTGTAGTGGAAGTCGCCCATCACGCGCAGCCCGTCCAGGTCGCCCATGCCCGCCAGCTTCCGCACGAACTCGACGTAGCGGCGCGAGCGGTACTCCTCGCTGCCGTCGTCGCTGTGCACGCTCACGCGCGAGCGCATCGCCGACTTGGCCGCGTCTATCACGAAGGGCAGCGCGTCGATGCACCGGCTGCCCACCTCCCGCGGGCTGCGCTCCACGCCCGACCTCACGTGGGCGTCGTCCAGCAGCCGCGAGGGGTTGGCGATGCCGCTGTAGAGGTAGTAGCTGACGGCCAGGCTCGAGGCGTCGTCGTCCTTGTAGTGTCCGCTGAGGTAGCTCAGCAGCGTCTTGTCGAAGTACTCCGTGTGGCGTTTTCTCGGCGAGCGGTCCGAGGTGACGAGCATCTGGTAGACTGCGGACTCCACGTGGGTCTTGCGCGTCTCCCAGGCGTACATGTTGTCCACCACCGGCGGGTAGCCGATGCCCGAGAGGAAGCCGAGCATGGCGTTGCACATGCCACACGAGGACCCGATTCCGTCCGCGATGTACGTGAGGCCTCGCGAGATGCTGCGCGGCCAGCCGCCCGGCAGCTCCAGTCGCCCGTTCCGGTCCGCCACCCCGAACAGGTAGAGGAAGGCCAGCAGGCAGCGGCACTTGGCCACCAGCCGTTCGCGCGCCCCCACCGGCAGCGACCTGTACTGCTCATCCACCTTGTCCACGAAGCTGTGGACGACGCGGCACGTGTCCAGCGGCTCGATTACTGCCAGCGGCTCCGCCGAGGAGGTGGCTCCAATCAGCCGGTGCAGCACGTCGTGCACTTGCTGGAAGTCGATGCGCTCGCCGCGTATGTTCTGCAGGCGGCGCAAAAAGCGGTCGGGATCGAACAGCAGCCCTACTGTGCGTGTGGCGTCGGGAATCACTACGTCCGGCGACTTGTTGTACAAGGTGTCGTTCTTCACGCTCCAGTAGGGGTTGAAGTGCTTGCTGGATTCAAAGAGGATTTCCTCGATTTCCTCTATTTCGTGCGGCGTAGGGCGCACCTCCGACACTTTTGTGGGCGCGTTCTCCGTGACGTAGTCGTTGACCGCCTGGCGGAGGAACCGCAGCGCCCCCGTCACGCCGTGGACGCGCCACGGTCGGCGTCGGTCGCGTATCGCGCTGAATGCGGGGATCGTGTGCTTCTCCAGCAAGCGCGCCATCAGGACGTTTGACAGTTTCAGCGTCACTTCCGCCACGCGCCGTGCCTCCACGTCGAGGCTCTCCTCCAGGGTCATCGCCGGCTGGAGCAGCGGCCGCTCCATGATCTCCGGCATCAGCGCCCCCTCCGTGTCTCCGTAGTAATTGACGTACTTCGAGTAGTGCCCAATGTTGTCGAACATTTCTTCCGGGTAGCGCGAGCGGTCCGCCGTCTTGAGCTCCTGGTTGAGCATCTTGACGTAGCCCCCGTGCAGCGGCAGCCGCCCGACTGACCACTGCGATATGAGCCCGGCGAAGCTCGTGTACCTTTCCCGGTCGAACGTGACGCGGTACTTGAAGCGCAGCAGTTCGTTCTTTTCGTTGCGATAGCAGTAGGCGAGTTGCTTGGCCAGGCCGCTGGCGTCCTTCGGCCCGCGGAGCCTGCGCACCCTCACCTGGTGCGCGAGCACCCTCCACATGTACGTGTACGCCGCCTCGTTGTCGAAGTAGGTCGGCCACGTGGAGTGTTCCCGCTTGTAGCTGCGGTACTGCCGCAGCGCGCGCACGTCGTTGCGCAGCGCCGCCACTGCCAGCGTGTGCGCTGCTCCTCCCTCGGGCAGCCGCAGTGGCACCCCCATGAGCAGGAAGTGCGGCAGGATGTCCGGCGGCTCGTCCATCGAGTTGAGTAACGAGCCGTGCAGCACTGGCGAGTTCAGCAGGTGCAGCATGATTTCCAGTCGCCTCGGGACGAGCGTCGTGCCCCAACGCAGGACGCGTCCGTTGTCCTGTTGCAGCATGTCGAAGCGTCCGTGCTCGCGCACGTCCAGTCGGTCGTTGATCCAGCTTTCGTATCGGCGGCGTTCGACTTCCTCCAGCGACGGCTGCGCGAAATGACCGGGGCGGTAAACTGGAGGTCCACGGCGCCCAGCGCCGTGGAGTTGTTTTCATACGCAGATAGACACGATCACTAATCCCCTATACATGTACAAACACAGTATAAACATCTGCACGACGAGTATATTGCCGCGGAATAGTCCTCAGGTGCCGTTTGGAGGCGCCTTAGGGCAGCCGTCTACTTCCAAGATCTCGGCACAGTCCAGATTGCCAGATTGCGGACATCAGTTCACATGACACACGGCCAATCAGCATTACACACACGTAGTAACGCTCGTCTCACATACATCCGCGCACTCACCTCCAGGCTTTCATGGGTGGTGGCCGCCGGCAGCCAACCGACGGTCGCCGCCGCCTCGGTGTTACCGATCGCAGCGGCGGCCAACGCGATCACCCAGGCAATATTCATGTTCTTATAGACCTTCCCATTTTACCTCCGCACGGTGCAATGTGCGCAAAGTAACCATGGTGTGGCGAGTGACCTTCCTGTCGCACTTTGGCACTACTTCGCTTCACCGCATCTGTCACCTCTATCACTAGAAGTGTCGATTGAATTTCAAAGCAGCGTATGGCATAAAGTTTTTTATGTATTTTTCAACGGTTCTGGTACTCTGTTTGCCACTAGTATTACTACAAGTTGGCGTGCTATTTGATGTTGGCAAAATGGATTAATTTACAGAATAGCGGCAAAACTTTGTGTAATATACAATGTAACTACCGGTTAAGACAAGCGAGACACCTGCTACCCTGTTGTCTATGTACCTTTATGGCAGTATTTAGAACCCGCTCCTTTGAGTGGCCCACGGTTGTCCGTCCAAATGGCTCCGTAGTGGCGTGTAACTTACTCGATTGTGAATAAATTTCACTGTAACCAAGTTACGTATAAATAGTAATATAGCAGTGCAATAGGCGTACCTCCGGCGGGACTCGAACCCGCAACCTTCGGATTAGAAGTCCGACGCGCTATCCATTGCGCCACAAAGGCCCACCTCGGGGGTCCAAAGTTCGCACGATACGGCATATCCAAACATCGGGGTCTCCACGTCGGTCTATATAGGACATTAGCAGATCGGCATTTTACTGTGATTCCAGGATGATTATTGGCACTAGCGCCTCACGGCGCAGTGCGCGCCTCTCTCCCGAGGTGAGCCGCATCCTCTACCTCAGGTTTGTCGGCTATCCAAGTGTGTCATGCTTTTCAGGAACCTGCCGTACAAGATCTCCGCTGAGGAGCTGTACGACATCTTCGGGAAGTACGGGTCGGTGCGCCAAATTAGGAAGTAAGTGTTGCATCTTTGGGCGGTCTGGCCGTAAGCTGGGTTTGACTTGCTAACACCGTCGCAGGGGCAACTCTCCGCGAACCAACGGCACTGCCTTTGTGGTCTACGACGACATATACGACGCGAAAAACGCGCTGGACCACCTCTCCGGGTTCAACGTCGCCGGCAGGTACCTTGTCGTGCTCTACTACAACCCTACTCGTCTCAACAAACGCAAGGACCTAGACAAGGAGCAGGAGGAGCTTAACCGCGTCAAGGCGTCGTTGAGCACGAACAACAACTGACTGGGCCTTCATGTGCCAGGCTCGAGCTCATCGCAACACAAGGGCGCTGATAATACCGCAGCGTCGTAATATATACGAGCAAAGTACCACTTGCCGCGCAAAAGTCACGTATTCGTTTAGCGCTGCGTCTTAAACCGGTGTGGTTAGCGTATCTCTGTGGCATGTGAATGGACATGTAACACCAATAGGTGAAGCAATTCCGTTGTTCGCCTCCCAGAGGAACCGGTGAATAGTTCTAATATTGTTAGGAGATATTTATGCTTCACCTGTGATTGACGCCCTATGGCATTGTACCGTGCGAGTTAGATGAACTATGGGAACGTAATGGCGACCTGAAACCGGCGTTTATCACCCTTATGATGGCAAAGACAACATTAGAGATTTAATCACTCAGATGCCAGTAGCAAAATTCGTAATCCAAAACAACACACTAACATATATTAAGCCCACCTTATAGGTGCTAACGTGTCATACAAGGTGTACTGCGTAGCAAAAAGGAGTATGAATGACCACCGATCGAAGGTGGACAGTACGGCAAATAATACCGGATTAGCACAACCCGGTCATCTTATACGATTACACATCCACTAAGTTGGGCTATCAAAGATTTCAGAAGATGGGACCAATATGATACAAATGATTGATGCGATGTGTATGTGATGTGCACGACCATGTGCTTCAATTCCGCAGGATAAGCTGCGCCATACACTATGGATACCACGCCATTCAGCTACTCACACGACGTTCTAACGTCGCACATCAAATAAACGCCGCACATTCATAGAAGGCTCTACCGCCGGTGCTCCGATGGCGGCAGTCCTCCAGGCTGGACTGGCAGGCCTGGGCCTCGAGCCAGACGAAGACATCGTAAACTACCTCGTCGAATTGCTCGAAGCAGAGGGAGCCGAGGCGTGCGCGGAGTGGCTGGAAAGCGCCACGACGGCCAATCAAGCCGAAGCTGCCCGGAAGCTGGCGGATGATGCGCTTACGTCTCTGCAAGGTAGGGCCACGTCCAACCATACGCCATGATAGTACCCAGCTTCGAAGGAAAACGCGAATCACGCACACGCTACATCATCAACAACCGGCGCTGAAGCCGCAGAGGACATCGCAGACCCCTTGCAGGGGATCGACATCGCATTCGCCACGGCGAAAACAACCGGAAGCGCAGCACCAAACACGACCGAAACTGCCGCAGCCCGGCAAATGAACCTCGAATTGGATAAGGATCTGCGGCGAGAGATCGTGCAGCGGTACGCGTGCGTCGAAGTTCAGACAGTCCACCTGGATGAGAACGGCCAAGTGTACTCGTCGGGTGTCTCGCTGCGGGACCTGGAGTCCGACGTCGTCATCCCCACGAACGACAACGCCGCACGCGTTCGCCAGGAGCAGCACGAGCGCCGCTTGTCCCAGAAGCAGCAGCATCTGGAGGTGCAGGAGAAGCAGCGCCAGCAGAAGCTCAAGCAACAACAGCGGGAGGAAAAGGAGCGCCTCCGCTGCCAGAAGAAGGAGCGACAGAAATGACATTCGTTCACCAGGGTTATATTTGAATCGAATACATTAGGTGATAGTTTTAATGGGTGCATTGGCATCCATGCACCATGCCAGTGGTAGCTGTGAGTAGCACCAGTATGACAACATGTTGGACCGCGAGCGACAGTGGATGCATTACTTTCTCCAGCGCAAATGCCGAGTTTCACGTTCCATACCGGGCCGCAGCACACGCCACTCCTGCTCGTGGACGTTGTGGAATCGCTCAAGGGGCTTACGCCTGCCCAAAGCCGGCTCACCGCCATTGCTAACGCCGGCGCCATTGTCGCCGCCAACTATGCGACCCACCGAGGCCACCGGGGACTTGTGGTGCAGCACCTGCGCCATCTCCAAAATGGGAACGACCCTCTGAAGCAGGGCCGCAGCCCGAATGGACGCTTCCAACGACTTGGCGTCGGTCTTGCCCTCAACAGCCATCGGCCTGTTCAGCCGCAGGGCAGCCATCCGGGCCAAAATGGTGGCCTTCGCCAAGAACTTTTGCATGGAGGACATCGTAACGTGGGTGCTCGTGATGGTTGGGTGGGCAGGGTAAGGGGGTTGCCGTACCAGCTACGGTGCCGCCCGTAGACCCAAGTCCGAGGCGATCTGCCTCGCCTTCAGGTTCATGCCAGCCGGCCCGCAGCACAGCAGCAGGCTGTTTTCACGCTCGAAAAAGTCCTCCACGAACTCACGCGAAAGCTTGCCGAACGCAATGTCCTCGTCGCTTGACGGAGTGTAGGCGTCCGCCACCGCAGGGTCCTCCGACGTCACCAAGTACCGCACCGCCAAGGGGCCGCGCCGCTGCAACTCGTCAAACAGGGGCTTGAGCAGAATCTCCCGCAGCGTCTTGTTGCAGAAGAGCAGGTTGACGCGGGTGGAGGTGTTGCGGATCAAGAAGCGCACGTACGGGGTTATGCCGGTGCCGCCCGCCACGATGTTGAGCGTCCGGAAGTCGAGGTTGCCCTCGGTGGTGCCGAGGACGCCGTCTTGCACCAGCGCGTACCGGCTCGTCCACGGGTTCAACAAAATCGGGTCCTGCGGCTTCAGCGACTCCAGGTACCGGGTCAGGCGGCCGCCGTCGGGGAACTGGGCAGAGGGGCGGTAGATGCGGATGACGAAGTGGGCCTCGCGGCGCTCCCGGTCGACGAAGACCGGCGTGTACTTGCGCGCGACGCGGTTCCCCTCCGTCGCGGGCTGCGCGGCGCCGTTCCACTTGCCCTCGAGCACCGGCGCGCTGTGGGAGCCGTGCAGCAGAAAGTGGGAGAAGACGTGGCAGTTGAACTCCGCGTCGAGCTCCGGCGGGTACGACAGCACGAAGACGAAGGCCGTCGGGGATATCTGGACAGAGCGAGCGAGCTTCAATGGCAGCTGCTGCTCCGTGTCGATGCTCTCCGGTGGCGCGGCCTCAAACCCCTCGCCCTTCAAATATCGTTCCACGAGCGCAGCTGCGTCCTCGGCTGCTGCCATGTCGTTTAGGCGCGGTAGCTTTTTCCACAGTTCAGGGTCGTACCGTGTGATGTGTGACGGGTGCCTCGCGACACAATGGAGCCCCGAGCGACCAGAGTGTTGTGCCAGCTTGGGCGGTAAAAGGCCGCGTATACGCACGTTTTTTGCGCCAAAGCGAAATTTAGCCAACATAACGGGCGCAGGGTGTTAACGAGCTTTAGGTGATTTCCGGTGGAAGGCAGGCAATCGCGGGGCCGCGTAGGACCGACTTATGTGCGATAGCGCGATTGCGGGCCCATCGTCTATAACACCTGACCCTCCTCAACGTCCTCCGGCGGAGCTGCCGCCGTGTCCCCGCCCTGTTCCGCGGCCTCCATCTCTTCCGTGATCAGCGGCTTCTCGTCGTAGAACTTTGGCGGCTTCGTGCGCGAGCGGCCCTTGCCGCCGCCCAGCCGCCGGGGGAACCAGCCGTCGACGGTGCGGGCGCGCTCCACGTCCACCATCACGCGCCGGGTGCTGATCTTTTTGCCGTCGGCGCGCTTGTAGGCGTTCACCATGTCGCGGTTGTCGCTGTACTCGATGAACGCGTAGCCGCGCGGGCGGTTCTTGCGGTCGTTGATCATCCGGATGCGCCGCACGCGCCCGAACGTGTCGAACTCCTTCCACAGCTGCTTCTCGGTGACCTCGTAGGGAATGTTGGAGACGAACAGGGTCTTGTAGGGGTCATGGGTCAGCCACGGGTTGGTCGAGCCGCGCGCCAGCGCCGGGTCGAACTTGGGGTCGTACTTTTCGCGCTCGATCCGCTGCTTCTTCTGGAACTCGATGAGGCGGCGGCGCTTTTTGCGGTCTGCTCTCTGGCGCGGGGTCTCAAATGGCGGGTCCGGTGGGACGTGCTCGTTTGAGAAGTGACCCACGAAGTCGGCCAGGCCGCTCATCTTGCGCTTCATGCCGTTCTCGATCGGCGGCACGTACTGCAGCGGGGGTCTGGCTTGGAAGAGCACCAGAAGGTGCGGCGGCATACCGAGGGCCGACATGGTTCGTGACTGTCTTGCAGGGGCGTAGCGGAACTGCTGAAAGTGAGAGACTGCGATGGTGCGCTTGTTCTCAGTGGCCACAAATCCGCCTTTGGGTAGCAGCGCCGGGTCGATTAGAGCACGCGCAAAGACAACTAATGGAACTTGGCGAGGGACACTGTGTAGACCATCAAACGAAACTAGAGTAGCCGCTTTATATCGCGGTGATATTGCTAACGAAATGTGTCTATAGCCGGTACTGTCCCGGTTGTATGTATTTAAGGTGCCTTCGAGAATCAGGGGTTGCGAACTGCCACAAGTTGTCCAGCACCCCTGGACTTTCCTATGTCAAACACCCTAAACAGGATACCGTTATTGATAAATCGGTAGCTGCGTCGGCGGTAAAACCCAGTGACGCTGCGTAAACGCCGCC